AATATTTCATAGTAATTCATAAAAGTTAAAAGAATATAGTTATAATATGTGAATAGACAAAATGCAACTGGAGTGTACAGAAATACAATTGTATTATGAAAACACTATGTAAACAGACAAGAATGCAACTGGAGTGTACAAGAATACAGTTGTATTATGAAAACAGGACAAAACCATTAACATTAGGCAACCTGACATAGATCCATGATCCTGACATAGATCAGATCCATAACTGTGGAGAATATCCATAATTTTTGAGAGTTTTCTGATAAGGTACTTCTGCTTAATTAAAAATTTACTAAATGCTAGTTGATTATCCACAGGGAAAGGAATGTGAAATTCCTCCGTTAACGGGCATGTAGTAATATAATGTTCAGGTATGCCTAGAGTTCCGCAGACACAATATTCACTATTTGCAATTCCATGCTTGTAAAAGTAGCTTGGAAATGGACCATGCCCCGAGATATATCTTACTAGTTGATGATTTGTTATCTGACGACATTGATCCACATACGTAATATGATTGTACGTTCGTCGACCGGTTTCATCAGTATCCCATTCTAGTTGCCATTGGGATATAACTTTTAAAAGAAGAGTTCGTTTTAAGTGAGATGTTGGCCACTTAAGAATCACTTCTTCAGCCTCGGAATCGGTATTTTCGGCAGCTGATTTGGCTAATTTATCTACCAAAGTATTACCGTGATCCCCAGCATGGCCCCTAGTCCAAGCTAGCGTGCTGTTATTTCCCACTTGATTACGAAGTTCCCATTGGATGTACGAGATAAGCGAAGAAGAATGTCTGGGGTTTTGAATCGCTTGAAGCGACGAAAGACTATCAGTGATAATTATTGCCTCCATAGCACCACTTGTTTTACAGTGTTGAACTGCTTTAAGGATGGCTAGGGTCTCCAAAAATACACTATTATTTCCATGGAGATGACCCAGCCACTGATAAACTGACTGACCATTATGAAAGGCTACAAGGGCACAGCCTGTCTGTTGATATATTTTAGATCCATCAGTGTAATATTGAATGCTTGGGATAGGTGGCAGTGTTACGTCGTTAAAGAAAATCCGAAGTCCTGTTCCTTGTAGGACTGGATGCACATCCAAATGTTGTGAGGGTTGTTCATATTGCAATGGTGTGAAAAGTTCATCAAATAGGATAAAAAATTTTTTCAAAACCTTGACGGATTGTATTGCTACTTCCTGCGGAGTACGTAGATGAAGAGGGATCAGTCCCGCCATGACATTTAATGCACTGGATGAGGTGGTAAAAAACGACCTAGTTATCTGTAAGGTAAATTGACGCTGGAGACTTTGCAAGTGGCGCACTTTGCGACCCTGCAATGGGTTCAGCCCATATAGCAGCCATAGGTGACCATTCTCTCGATAACGGTAAGATAAAGAACTTTTTGTATATAGGGACTGATTCCCCATCCACGACCCTGGATTTGGCGCAATTTACATGCAATTATAACAGTTCGTCTCTTTAGTTCCAAACATGCGGCATCCAGTTCAGTTTCTCGTCAAAGTTAACGCCGAGAAACTTGAGCTGCGAATTGATAGGTATACGTGTACCATGACTGGTGATTCGAGGCCGTCGAACCAAAGATCCTCCTTTTTTAGGGATTAATAAAATTTGCGATTTTGGTTCGGAAACTGTTAATTTAATTCTAGAACATAAGTTATAAAAGAGATCACAGGTTTCAATAGCATTTCTTTGCAACTCATCTCGAGTTTGTCCTTGAATGATAAAAACTGTATCATCTGCATACGCAGATGCCCGGGTATGTGCTGGCCAGTTTGCGGCAATAACAGAATTAAATGTTATATTCCATAAATCAGGGTCAGCACAAGAACCCTGCGGACAGCTTCTGTTTTGTTGTCTTGTAATAATGCCATGATTAGTGGAGTAGATAATTTTTCTTTCCGACAAGTAACTTTGAAATGCAAGAAATAAATTCTGAGGACAATCAGCTTGTCGAAGTGCCTCCAGTATTGCAGGCCACCACAGTGAGTCAAAAGCATTCTTAAGATCTATACTGATGAAAGCACTGTGGTGACCATTGTTGCGATTACGATGTATATCTTCTGTAATTTTTTATAATACTTGTAGGGTAGACCTGCCTGGTCTAAAGCCATATTGGTTATCACTTAAAAAGTGAATTTTGTGAAGATAATGTTTTAAACGGTAGACAATAATTCTTTCATAAACTTTCCCCAGAGCAGATAATAGACATATAGGTCGATAAGATGTGGATAATTGCGGATCTTTGCCTTTTTTGAGGAAAAGAACCACTCTTTCAGCTTTGAAGATACGAGGAAATACACCGTTAAGAAATAACTTATTAAAAATAATCACAGAAGAAGAAGATGCGGGAATTAATGATTACACTAATTATAGAATAGTTAATCCCGTCGGGGCCTGGGGCCCGTTTTTTTTGGAATATTTCGAAGAGTGGTTTTAATTTCTGTAATTGTAATCTGTGGATCATCCTGTGTGTTAGGAATAGAAGTTTGCTGCCTAATTGACAAGTGCTCTGGGGAGTCATCTGTAATATCATCCTGAGGAAGAACTGATGCTACAATATCATTAATAGTATTTTCTATTGGGCTAGACTCAGCAAGTGATGATTCTGGTAGATACGTTGATGCAGGCTGAAAAAGCTTATCTCGAGCGATCTTATAGGGTAAGGCAAATATTTCTCTATTTGTAAGCAGTATTTTCTCCAAGCTTCTATTTTCCTCTGCATAATCATCCGTTTATACAGAGCACGCTCTCTTTAAAAAACATGAAGAGTATTAGATGTTATTCCATTGCGTCGTTCAGATTTTAATCGTCGCCTAAGCGTACGACACTTCCGCTACTGTATGCAAAGATCAGAGTTCCACCAATATAAAGTATGGAGCTGCTTGGTAGTTCGCTTTGGAAGTATTTCGTGACAAATATCTTGAAAATTTTTACATTAAGGACTCTGAAAAGCGTTCAATATCTTCAGATATAGTTAACGAGTTGATTTGGTGAATTCAGGTTCGAAGCAAAATGCGCTCATTTACGTTGGGCGATTACGAAGACGATTAAGAGTTCCACGAACTTTTCTACTAAACTGATTAATTTTCCTGCCAGGAACATTATAACGAGGTAAGATAGGTAAAGAACTATGTTGTGTTACTTCAAAAGTGATATATTTATGGTCAGATAATGAAATCTCATCTCTAACCGTCCAATTACTTGTTAAGTGAGAGGTATTGGCAGATGTAAAGGTCAGGTCCGGCCAATCCACAGCATATAGTCTGTCGAAAGTAGGAATTGTATTCGTGGCATTGAGTAATACATGCTGTTAACGTCAATTTTACTTCAGGTTAGGGAGATGTATCTGTGCTAGGAATAGACCTGTGTGTAGTAGCTATGCAACACTTCTGTTGTACATGTTCTCGAAAGAGATATTGGATTTTGATACGTTTTTCCAGCACAGCAATAAAGTCAGGTGTTTAGATTATAATCGAAAATGAGCCAGTGAAAAGTGAGATTTGCCAATTATACCTCTTAAAAAATTGTTGCCGTTTGTTCGTAATTATCAGATATGACTAAAGAATTAAATCACTAAAAATATAGACATTTCCTCATCCCACACCAAACTACATTCTTATCTGGAACAGAGAATATGTTCGGTAAATATAGTACAAAATTTTCGAATATTCAAAAGCACACATTTTTCCAACCAGGGGCTGTATGATAAGAATGCTGCATACTTATAAAAATTCGAAACTCATGGTGTCAAACAGGCCTTGCGAAGTACAAGTATAAATAGTTCGAATTCACCAGTGTGCATCCCTCATATGAGTTGAATACTTAGCCTCCCGAAATCTTACCCGAGCAACTAGAACATATGCTTCTTCAAAAATAGAAAATATTTCCCTACAAACGGTTAGATGATTTTCTAGTTAGCATCCAGAGACGGTGCAACGAATTCATTGCAGTTAAAGGAGGCTATTTCCATAATTAAGGCTTTTTGGTTTATCCTTCAAGCAGAAATTTTTCTATTCGTTCTGTGCTATAGCAACAGTATTACGTTTTTGATTTTGTATAACTTCATCATCATATATGGTGCCGCTGTAGAGTAAATTTCATGTCTCCGACTTGCTTATTCGCTAAAGTACGGCCAAAATGGGAAATATGACTTTATCTCTGCACACCGGGGCAGATAATGATCAGAGTTATCCTATTTATGCAAATTTATCTGTTTTATAAGTATATGTTTTCATATGACGTTTCTTAATTTCTCGTATGCAGTAAAAAAAAACGGTTTATTTTGGAAGTTTTCCACAAAATCTGCATTTAAGAAATGCTGAATATATAAACATTATTTTAAGTAAATGATATTTTATCGGTACTTAAAAATGCATATTTATATGTTTTGCTACCCGCTGCGTTCCTTCAAATATTGAATTTAAACATCTCTTGAATTAAAGTATAACAATCAAAGTATATTAATGTTAAACTTACTGTTAAGCAATTCGAAGAGCTCGATTAACTGCTTACGGATATGGAAATTTAAATGAAAGAAAAGAAGATTCTGACATTAAATCATTATGTTATTACAGACAAAGTCATGAGTGTGATAGTGAATCATATTACTTAATGAAGAATCTCAAATATCCAAGTATTATAGAATTGTATTTTAACATTTGGACTCTATTTACAACTTCAAACTATTTAAAAAAATTCACAAAATATTTGCATATATATTGGTGCTTAAAATCAGATCAAATTTGAGAATGAACTATGGAACATGCTGAATGTACAGTAGAAAGAGTTGATAAAGCTTCTTTTTTAAATTTCAGTTTGATTTCCCTTTAGCCTTTATAAAAGAGAATATGTTAGTGATTTAACATCAAGAATGTTGCATTAAGCTGCTATACCAGCTAAGAGCATTTCCTAGCTTAGTTTATTTTTAGGTTGTAAATACATTTGAAACAAATATTGTATCACGCAGGTACGTCAGTTGAACCCACAGAAGAAACTACACCCGACGAAAGCGAGGAAGGTATTATATTTTATTCATAATTAATTACAAATAATTACCTAGTTCATGTCTTTTGATAGGAATGAAAATCTCTGGTATCTTCTAAAGTGGTAATGACATTATGGAATATCATTGTATTTAGGCGTCATATATGAACAGATGTATATACATTAGTTTACGGTTTTTTCCTTAAGAAGAGACGCTAGATACATACTTACGTCTATATAGAGTCCTAAAATTCAGGTTCGAAGCAATATGCGCTCATTTACGGTGGGCTTCACAATGTTAGTTTTCTTCTGATAAAATATTTTTTCCAAAAATTCCAGTTTCTTTAAATTTGCACGAGACAACAGGACTTAATACATTCGTTAGAAAGCAGTATTAAGGAAGTGTTTTCCAAAAGAATTATTAAGAGTCTTACGAAATGAAAGAATTTTACCGCAGTTGTTATATATATAGTAGATATATATATTTATCTTGCAAGTGAAATTTTACAGTTGCTAAATTTTTGTTCTTAAGTATATGGTTTCCGATTTCCCTAAGGTTTTTATGTGTTCTGGATATTTAAACTTTTGAGAGATGCTGTTAACGTCAATTTTACTTCAGGTTAGGGAGATGTATATGTGCTAGCAATAGCCCAGTGTGCAACACTTCCCGCTGTTGCACATGATCTCGAAAAATATATTGGATTTTGATAAGTTTCTCCAGCACAGCAATAAAGTCTGGTGTTTAGTTTATAATAGAAAAAGAGCCAGTGAAAACGCCAAAGAGATTTGCCAATTATACGTCCTTAAAAATTGTTGTCGTTTGTTCGTAAATATCAGAATATGACTACAGAATTAAATCACTAAACTTATATACATTTCCTCATTCCGCATGAAACTACATTCTTATCTGGAACAGAGAATATGTTCGGTAAATATATAACAATTTTTTCGAATACTCAAAAGTACACATTTTTCTAACCAGGGGCGGTTGCATAGGAATACTGCATACTTATAAATATTCGAAACTCATGGTGTCAAACAGGCCTTGCAAAGTACAGGTATAAACAGTTCGAATTCGCCAGTGTGCATCCCTCATATGTGTTTAATACTTAGCCTCGCGAAATCTTACCCGGGCAACTAGAACATAAGCTTCTTCGAAAATCGAAAATGTTTCCCTATAAACAGTTAGATGATTTTGTAGTCAGCATTTAGAGACGGTGCAACGAATTCATTCCACTTAAAGGAGGCTATTTCCATAATTAAGGCTTCTTGTTTTATCCTTCACTCAGGAATTTTTCTATTCGTTCTGTGCTGTAGACACGGTACTAAGTTTTAGATTTTGTATAAATTCATCATTTTGATTTTGTATAACTTCATCATCATATATGGTGCCGCTGTAGTGTGAATTTCAGGTCTCCGACTTGCTTATTCGCTAAAGTACGGCCAAAATGGGAAATATGTCTTTATATCTGCACACCAGGGCAGATAATGATCAGAATTATCGTATTTATGCAAATTTATCTGTTTTATAAGTATAGTTTTTCATATGACGTTTCTTAATTTCTCTTATGCAATAAAAAAAGATATGATGTGTACACCACATGACTTCCTTGTATGGAATATTAAATTATACGCATTTTTTCTTGCATTTCATTTAAACTTATTGGACTAAATTAAATATACTTCGCCGACAGCGCATAAACCACAATAGAATAAATGCATTCTTTAAAATTTATTCTAGTATTTGTTTACCATAGCGACACTCTGGCTCTAGATTCACTTAAAAGTATTAATAATTATATAACTGTTAACTTACAGATTTCGTTCATATTATAACTCATAATGCACAAAATTTATATCATTTAAAGAATAGAATTATCTAATCGTTGCCACATGTTCTATTGAAATAGTAAAATAAAGCTTTAATGATGTATAAAAGAATTTAAGCAAACAAAACAAAAAAAGAAACAGTTTTTCACAGACGATTGAGTATTTCTCATTTAATTAATTCACTTCTCACTTCGGGAGAAGGCAAAAATACATAAAAAGTCAAAATATCTATATTAAAAATTACGAAGTAAATCTTAAACACTTATTTCCTCGAAAACATTCCAGAAAGAATTAAGCATGATTTAATTTGCAATAATAAATGAATGCATTATCTTTGTTGTTGCGAAGCTAAGTTTCTCTAGATTGGCACTAGTCTCCTGTTTCAAATGTAAACATCAATGGTCGCCATCGATAAAAGGCTTAGCGGCACTTAGACAACTTTACAATTGTTGATAATTCTAAAAATGTTGCATACAGATAAAAACCTTAACCGGAAGATAAAAACAACATAATACAATCATTTTAAAGCAAAAAATGTACAATTTACAAAGATATAAGAGTAAAGAAACCGAGATCACTGAGCCGGGTAACAGAGTGGATATATATATAAATATATTTATATACGTTTGGTGCGGCCGATTGCAACGAAAATACGATGTGCACATCTACATGTTAAAGCAGTCCTATATACAAAAATCCATAAAGGATTAAGCATGATTTAATTCGCAATAATAAATGAAGACGTTATTTTTGTGTTGCGAAGCTTAGTCTCTCTAGATTGGCAACAAATTCTTCAATTCTGCTGTTTCAAATGTAAACAAATATGTCCGCCATGTTATTTAAAACTTAACCGCACTTAAACAGCTTTTAAATTCTTGATAATTGCACAAATATTTCTTCTAGAATTACGAAAGGCATAAAAACCTTAACCGGAAGATAAAAACAAGATAATTCAATCATTTCTAAAGCAAAAAATGTACAATTTACAAAACATATAAGAGTAAAGATCCTGAGATCACTGAGCCGGGTAACAAGAGTTGGATATACATATGTGTACGTATAATATATATTATATTTACGTTTGGCTGCGGCCGATTGTAACCAAAATACGAGGTGCACATCTACATGTTATGGCAGTCTTATATACAAAATTTCAACGTTCTGAGGCTACTCGTGTTTGAATTATGCGAAATACATACTTACAGACGCCACGAAATATTCTCTTCAGAATTTATTTTAAAGCAGTTTTATAATTTTTTTTGAAGGAGAAGAGTATTTTATTCTGTCCTTACGTACAGATATCACGCAAAACCATCGTTAAATTGCATTGGATAGCGGTCAAAATAGATGTTTTCGTTGAAATATGCTGCCTGAAACTTTTCGCGATTACATTACTTCCTTTTTACTTCGTACAAGGAAGTAAAAAACGATTTTAGTTTGGAAGTTTTCGACAAAATCTGCATTTAAGAAATCCTGAATATATAAACATAATTTTAAGTAAATGATAATTTAGCACTACTTAAAATGCATGTTTATATATTTTGCTAACCTCTGCATTCCTTCAAATATTGAATTTAAACATATCTTTTATTAAAGTATAACAATGAAAGTACATTAATGTTAAACTTATGTTAAGTAATTCGAAGAGCTCGAACAACACCTTACGGATATGGAAATTTAAATGAAAGAAAAGATGTTTCTGACATTAAATCATTTTGTTATTACAGACAAAGTCCTGAGTTAGATAGTGAATCATAATACTTAACGAAGAATCTCAAATATCCGGGTATTATAGAAATGTATTTAAAAATTTGGACTCTGTTTACAACTTCAAACTATTTATAAATTTTAGCAAATTCACAAAATATTTGCGTAATATTGGTGCTTAAAATCAGATCAAATTTGAGAATGAACTATGGAACATGCTGAATGTACAGTAGAAAGAGTTGAAAAGGCTTCTTTTTTTAAATTTTAGTTTGATTTTCTTTTAGCCTTCATATGGGAGAATATGTTAGTGATTTAACATCAGGAATGTTGCATTAAGCTTCTGTACTAGCAAAGGACATTTCCTAGCTTACTTTATTTTTAGGTTGTAAATACATTTGAAACACATATTGTATCACGCAGGTACGCCAGTTGAACCCACAGAAGAAACTACACCGAGCGAAAGCGAGGAAGGTAACAAATTTTATTCATAATTAATTACAAATAATTACCTAGTTCATGACTTTTGATAGGAATGAAAATCTCTGGTATCTTCTAAACTGGTAATGATATCATGGACTATTATTGTAATTAGGCGTCATATATGAATACATGTATATACATTAGTTTTCGGTTTTCCCTTAAAAGAAGACGTTAGATACATACTTACTTCTATATAGAGTTCTAAAATTTAGATTCGAAGCAAAATGCGCTCATTTATGTTGAGCTTCACAATGTTAGTTTTCTTCTGATAAAATAATTTTTCCAATAAACCCAGTTTCTTTAAATATTCACGAGACGACAGGACTTAATACATTCGTTAGAAGGCAGTATTAAAGAAGTGTTTTCCAAACGAATTATTGAATGTCTTGGGAATTAAACAATTTTACCGCAGTTGTTATATATTTAGTAGATATATATATTTATCTTGCAAGTGAAATTTTACAGTTGCTAAATTTTTGTTCTTAAGTATGTGATGTTGCATGGCCCCAACTTGCCCGCAACAGTAGTAGTGACTGCTATGTACTGGAAATTACACAAAATCTTAAGAAGGGCTTAACTCCCTTTTTATTCCACTTTAGAAGTTACAGATACGTGCACTTGACGCTCACAAACTACGCCGACCCGGCGGTAAAATAAAAATAAGAAAGTACAACTAAAAATGAATAATAACAGGTCACTACCTACGAGGCTCTCTAAACGTAACTAACCTAACCGCGTTCTAAGATACAGCTGAGATTTGAGCAAAATTTCTGAATAAAAAGTTGAAAGGTTCAACTAGCTGCCGAAGTAAGCACACAGGCAGAAACGCTCGGTTCTTCAATTTCTACCTAGCAACCTTCACGCTCGTGAAGCAAGAAAGCACACTTTCGAAATCGTTTCCTTTCTACTTAGCTCAAATTACTTCTGCTTAAGATCTGAATACATTGCGCGTTCTACTAAAAATTTACATAGTCTGGCATTGGCAGTTCCAGGGGAACGTAAGGCTTGACAGGAAAGATAGTTTAAACGTAAAATAAATGTTAGTTAAAATAAATACAAACCCTACAAGTATATCGTTTCCGATTTCGCTAACGTTTTTATGTGTTTTGGATATTTAAAATTTTGAGAGATGCTGTTAACGTCAATTTTAGTTCAGGTTAGGGAGATGTATCTGTGCTAGCAATAGACCTGTGTGTGGTAGCTATGCAACACTTCGCGCTGTTGTACATGTTCTCGAAAAATATATTGGATTTTGATAAGTTTCTCCAGCACAGTAATAAAGTCAGGTGTTTAGGTTATAATAGAAAAAGAGCCAGTGAAAACGCCAAAGAGATTTACCAATTATACCTCCTTAAAAATTGTTGTCGTTTGTTCGTAAATATCAGAATATGGCTACAGAATTAAATCACTAAAAATATATACATTTTCTCATTCCGCATCAAACTACATTCCTATCTCGAACAGAGAATATGTTCGGTAAATATAGTACAAATTTTTCGAATATTCAAAAGCACACATTTTTCCAACCAGGGGCGGTATCATAGGAATACGGCATACTTATAAATAGTCGAAACTCATGGTGTCAAACAGGCCTTGCAAAATACAGGTATAAACAGTTCGAATTCGCCAGTGTGCATCCCTCATATGTGTTGAATACTTAGCCTCGCGAAATCTTACCCGGGCAACTGGAAGAGATGCTTCTTCGAAAATCGAAAATGTTTCCCTATAAACGGTTATATGATTATATCATTTGCTAGTCAGCATCTAGAGACGTTGGAACGAATTCATTGCAGTTAAAGGATGCTATTTCCATAATTACGGCTCTTTGCTTTATCCTTCAATCAGGAATTTTTCTATTCGTTCTGTGCTGTAGACACGGTACTAAATTTTAGATTTTGTATAAAATCATCATTTTGATTTTGTATAACTTCATCATCATATATGGTGCCGCTGTAGTGTGAATTTCAGGTCTCCGACTTGCGTATTCCCTAAAGTACGGCCAAAATGGGAAATATGAGTTTATGTCTTCACACCACGGCAGATAACGATAAGAAGTACCCTTTTTATGCAAATTTATCTGTTTTATAAAATATTTTTTCATATGACGTTTTTAATTTCGCTTATGAAATAAAAAAAAAACGATTTTTGTTTGGAAGTTTTCGACAAGACCTGCATTTAAGAAATGCTGAATGTAAGAACATAATTTTAATTAAATGATAATGATCCATATTAAAATGGATAGTCCGTTGCAGTCCTTTAAATATTGCATTTAACCATCTTTTTTATTAAATTATAACAATGAAACTGCATTAAGGTTAAACTTATGTTAAGCAATTTGAAGAGCTAGATCAAATTCCTACTGATATTTAAATTTAAATAAAAGTAAAAAAGTATCTGACATTAAATCATTTTGTTATTACATACAAAATCCTGAATGTCGTATTGAATCATATTATTTGATGACGAATCTCAAATTCTGGATATTATATAAACACATTTAAGCATTTTCGCTCTATTTACAACTTCAAACTATTTAAAACGTTTAGGAGATTCTGAAAATATTTGCATATATATGGGTGCTAAAAATCAGATCAAAATCGAGAATGAACTATGAATTAATGGATATGATATAATAGAATTTAAGATTTTTATTTATAATTTTAAATTTAGACTAATATTTTTAGTTACATATCAAAGAGGTTAACTGCATAGTGAAGAAAATAATTTACAGAATCTTTAAACTCTAAGTTGAAAACTAGGATTGAAACAAGTGTTGCTTTTACGCAGGTGGCCTAGGTGAAAACCACAGAATATTTACGTTGAAACGAAGAAACTGAGGACTAGGTACATGAAACACGAAATTTCATAAGGCTATATTCATAATTCTTCCAAAAATTACCTAGTTTATGTGAATGATAGGAATTAAAGCTCTGGTATTTTCTAATGTGGTAATGACATCATGGACTATTATGGCGTCATATATGAATAGATTTATATACATTAGTTTAAGAGGATACGTTAGATACATACTTACCTCTATTTAGAGTCCTAAAAATAAATTTCGAAGAAAAATTAGTTTCTTTATCTTGGGCTTAACAATGTTAGGTCTCTTCTGATAAAAACATTTTCCAAAAAACCTAGTTGTTTTAAATATGCACCAGACAACAGGTCTGAAATCGTTCATTAGAATGCAGTGTTAAAGAATTGTGTTTCCAAATGAATTAAACTCTTTGGAGCTGAAAGAATTTTAACACAGTTGGTATACGCATAACAGAAATATATAAGTGTCATGCAAGTGTAATTTTTCTCGTGTTAAAATTTGGTTCGTAAGAAGATTTTTTCCGATTTCGCTAACGTTTTTATGTGTTCTGGATATTTAGGCTCCGGCGAAATGATCTTAACGTCAATATTACTTTATGTTTGACAGATTTATCTCTTCTAACAGTAGACCTGTGTGGTAGCAATGCAACACTTCGCGCTGTTGCACATGTTCTTGAAAACAATACAGGATTTTGATGTATTTTTCTAATACAGCAATAACGACAGAAGCCAGTGAAAACGCCAAAGAGTTTTGCCAATTACACCTCCTTACAATTGTCGTCGTTTGTTCGTAATTAACAGAATATGACTACAGAATTAAATCACTAAACATATATACATTTCCTCATTCCGCATCAAACTACATTCATATCTGGAACAGAGAATATGTTCGGTAAATATAGTACAATTTTTTCGAATATTTATAAGTATATATTACTCCAACCAGCGGCGGTCCGATAGGAGTACTGCATACTTATAAATATTCGAAACCCATGGTTTCATCCAGGCCTTGCGAAGTACAGGTATAAACAGATCGAATTCGCCAGTGTGCATCCCTCATATGTGTTGAATACTTAGCCTCCCGAAATCTTATCCGGGCAACTGAAAGAGATGCTTCTTAGGAAATCGAAAATATTTTCCTATAAGCGGTTAGATGATTTTGTAGTCAGCATCTAGAAACGGTGCAAAGAATTCATTGCAGTTAAAGGAGGCTATTTCCATAATAACGCTTTTTGGTTTATACTTCAATCAGGAATTTTTCTATTCGTTCTGTGCTGTGGTCACGGTATTAAGTTTTAGATTTTGTATAACTCTATCCTTTTGATTTTGTATAACTTCATTATCATATATGGTGCCACTGTAGTGTGAATTTCATGTCTCCGACTTGCTTATTCGCTAAAGTACGGCCGAAACGCGAAATATGACTTATCTCTGCACACCAGGGTCGATAATGATCAGAATTATCATTCTCATGCAAATTTATCTGTTTTTGTTCGTTTGTGCATTAGCACTGAAGGCGTAATGAGTAAGTTTCCGCAAGCACAGATTCATTAAAGAATCAAAAGTCAAAAAATAACTACGAAATCTTTATTTAATAAAATAGGAAATTTTTGCTTATCTTAAGCATAACAAAAAAGTAATAATCTTCACATACATTAAAACACTGAAGTATTGAAAATAATAACTTACACAGAATCATCATCAGTCCTAAATATCATCAAGTTACCTATTTAGGCAATAAAAAAAACAGGAACATACTTTGACACAGTACCTCAAAGAGAAAGCACTAACTGAATTAGACCTTTGCCCAGGTGCAAATAACTTATAAGGTTAGAATCGAATGCACTGCCCGTAGCTAAGGTGAACGTCAAATACACTCATATCCATAAATTAAGGATAATGCAAAATCAGGCAAAGGAAGAATTAGAAGCAAAACAAATTATTTATTAAACAAAAGGTAAAGAGCAAAAAATAGATGCTATATATTTGATATTATTAAAAAATAGCGATTTTTTCTCCCTGGAGCAAATTACAAAAAAAAAACCCTATTTACAAAAAACCAAGATTACATGGTTGGTATGATTGTTAATATATTGTATGTCTCCCAGACGATGCAATACAGTCCGTACAACTCCTAGGCATGCTGAGTATCAAATTATCGATCTGATCTT